CCATACATCCTCCCCTGGCTGCAGTTTTATGGAGTGAAGAAGTTTGCATCCTAAACTAGCCTCTACCACTTTTCTGTAATAGCTGGTCTGGGCCGAGTTGGACAAACCGGAACTGGAGTACAATCAGACCAGCATCTCCAAGCAGACCTGAGGGAAGCGTAACCATGACCAAAGGTGGAGATGAGGCATAGGACACAACACCTTCCAATGGCCTAGCAACAGATAACAGGCTGTCAGTCAGAGGCAAATAGATGGAACGTAACCCATGACTCTCGTCCCCTCTTTACATACCCTGCAGCACAGTCATTCTTAGTGCTCACAAGAATACATTCAAGAGCTGTTTGCTAACTGGATTTCTGCTGGTCAGGGCAGAGCTTAGCACAAGTGTGCACCTGTCCCTTCCCATCTTACGGAAGAGTCAGACTAAAATAAGATCATTAATGCAAACCAAAACATACACACCCAGCACAGGAACTTTGTAGATATAGTCATTAGGACAAAGAACAACAGGTCTGTCTTTTCAACATCTCCTTGCAAGCCTAGAAGTTTGCATTAGGGCAGAAAGATTAGTGTCAAGAAATAGTACGTTCTAACTCAGGACAAAACCATGGCCCATAGGACAACAGAGGATTACTGTGATTTAGACAGGCTCCATAGGTTCTGTGAAGTATCTCAAATACTTTTCAAACACTTGAGAACATCCAGGGCTGGAAAGATACTAACAAAGTTAAAAACAACTGTAGCCCAGTGTTTGGTCTTGTCCTAGCTAAAGGTCGAGCAATAAATGTCACTTTCAAAATACAGAAATATGTAGTTAGCTATATTTGAAATATGACTATAAAGGTAAAAATGATAGTAATAAAGGTGTTTGAATGCCTGGCTTCAGAGTGATGGACTAGTCTATCTGCTTTCCAATGGCTAGGACCTTAGACACCATCACCCAAGTTGTCAATGCACTTTATGTAGGTTCTTAACTCTGAGAGATGAATAGTCACAACATTTCATATTACTCTGAGCTGAATTCTGCCCTGTGTTACACCAGGGAAACTCCATAAACCGAGAGAAAAAAAATCTCTGTTTCCAATCAGTTTTCCCCAGTATTCAGTTTCGTAGTTCTTCTTGTCACAGCTTTTTCTATTAAAAAGTTTATGCCAGTTGGGGTTTCTTAGAGTTGGTCAAATTATAAGAAGAAAAATGCAAAACATTTGTCAACAATTATTCCTTTTTTTTCATAGAAATATCTCTGTTGATAATTTCCAAGACAGCTCTGGGGATGCATTTTCTTTTCTTTATATTTCATTTCATCTAAGTTGTGAGCTAGGATTTAAGTGCCAAATATCTTCAGTTGATATAAGAGGAATTTGAAATATCTTATCTCTAGAGGCCTGTGACTGAGTCTAGCAGCACATGGAAATCTGTCGACAGATGCCCAGCAAGCCATCCTCAGTGCATGGCTAATGTTAAAACGACACAGCGTGCATCACAGCTTGCAATATAACCAAAAACCCAACACAGGTACACAAATGCTGGGTAGGTGTTCTGTAACTGGTGCACTTGGGTAACGGTTGCGATTACTCTGACCAAATGTGGACGTCTATATATGAGCGGGTCACCCCAAGTTCCCCTTACAGCCGATTGAAGGAAGCAGGCGTTGCTGGGGTACAGCTTCCAATAGAGAGATAAACCAGGACTGACAGACCTTGACCGACACGTGGCCATCTCTTTCTGTTGCCTGCACCAGGACTCTGGGGTTACTAAATCAGATGCTGATGTAAAGGAGATGAATCCTACCTTATTTGCTTAAAGCATGCGGTAGCTTGGAGGAAAAAAATGCTTTAAATGTGAGAAATAATTTGCTGTATGCTTATTTTAAAAGAATAATTACATATGGGACCATGTCTTATATAAAGGAATTTATTTTATGAGTATGTTTTTAAACAGTGTATATTTATGTGCATTCTACTGCAAGGGAATAATTTTGAACAGAACTAGGAGTTTTGGGTTATTTTTTTAATGAATGGCTGCAGTCATAAGGTAGTTCATGCTCTGCTTAAATTAGATTCCATTGCTGCCTTTCTTCTACTATTTATTTACTAAATAAAAAAATAAATTAACAATCTGGTATAAAATCCTGATTTTCCAAGTGAACCTCTGATTGCTCAGAAAACCTCAGTGCATTCTGGATGAAGAAAATTAATTCGCCTTGAGTTACCTCATGCCAGTCAACTAAAGAATCTAGAAGTTAGAAATTAAGGTGAAATAAGGAGATTTTAAAACTGTAGAGAAAAGATTTTATTAACTAATGTGCTCCTGTTGTGCATATATTACCCTCTAGCAGTTTTTAATGTATCTTCTAATTATGTAATCAATGAAGATACTGATGTTTACCAATGGATGTTTTTTTTTTTTCCTGCTAATACAGAGCCACGAATTAACTATAACAGGTCCACAGACCACTGCAGCTCCCTGGCAGTATAGTATTTTGAAAACAGGTTTTCAGCATGTCCTTTTAAATGGGTTGAATCTTTCTGGCAGAAAGATGGCAGGTTTATGAGCATTCCTTACAGACGCCAACTGTGCCCGATAAAAACAAAACAAGAAGAGGGGTGGTTTAATTTCATATAGACTCTATAGCAAAACAACATGCAGCCGTGTACTGGGGAGAGATTAAAGCAAGAAAAAGGGAGAATGGTTCTGTGCAACTGATTTTCCTCATGCATCTCCGTAAAACATTTTTGCTCAGTTCTGCACACTGTTTCTTCACAGGTCACGGTGTACCTCTTCAGAGGGGCTTCTGTGTATTATTTCTTCCAACTTTGCTGTTAATGTCTTGACCTAGATTGAATGGGATAATTTACTCTGAATGGTACTTCAGTGTTGGGTGATAAATTATGTCTGATGATAGAGATAATGATGTCTACAAGAAAGAAAAAAAGAGGAACATTCAGCTGTAGTTACTTTCTACTCACAATCACTGCATCTTTGGTGTTAACAGGCTTGTGCCATCCGTAGGGTGACCTGACTGTACAGACTGTTGGAAATTGCATGCTAACATTGCCAGAAGCCATTACAGGTTATTCTTATTGACTACTGTAATTATAATAAACATTATGTTCCAGGGATGAGTTCTTGGCTGTATCGGATCCGTGACATCTCGCTCCCATGCATTTCAGCAGGCTGAAGATTTTACCCTAGGCCTTTTGGGTAAAAGGCCTTTTGGAGAGCCTTATCCTAGTGTTTTCTTGCAATGAAGAGGCTTTGCATGAGTCCTGTTTACATTCGGCTTTTCTGAGCCCCATATTCAGCCAATCTCACTCATCAGAGCCACTTAGTACATCCCTGATGCATATGTATCCAGCAAAGCAAAGAAGTGGAGTCTAGTTCAAAAGGAGAATATGGAAACAATAGATGCTTTTCAGACTCTTCCTCCCCAGAGACAATTACTTAACGAATGACAATGATGAATTACGTGTTAATGTAAAGCTACAACATATACATCATTGTACAAAGGGGTGGTGTTTTAATGCTCTCATTCTGCAAATTTTTTCAGAGATCTTGGGTGAACCTGCCTACCCAGCTGTGGAGAGCAAATCCTATTGCTGTAGCTGAAAGCACGTTTCAGTTAGTAAGATGCTAAAGATCAGGCAAAGTAAAAATCTATTGTTCGCAGGCTGTGTGCACAGAGCATGGCACTTGTTCTCTCTGTATTTTAGGCTCCTCGCCTTTTAGGGTAGTGATTACTGATTCAGAATAAAAGCCTAAATCGTCACTTAAGAATTATTATTTCATTGTTCTTTCTACATGGAAAGCAGAGTCTTACAAACTCTGTCCCACATTTCTGTATCCTGTAACACAGTTGGTTGGGTTTAATATTTTCCAATTTTCATTTTAAATGTCTCTTTGTTATAACTATACTGCTTCTCCCCACCATAACTGTATACCTTCTCCTATAGAAAGGTATACCTACCATCTAAATTATATATAAAGAAATCTAACCAACAAGGACTAGATGAGGTATTTAAAACAATTAGTTGGGAAATTGAAGTTTTATAGAATAAAATCCTGGGGAGAAAAATTAGATCAGATTGCAAAGAAATGGTTCCACAGGAAGACACTCTGTTGTAATAACATTTTCTTGCAGTTCAGCCTAAATGGGACTTAAAAAAAAATGTGTCCTCTTAATCCTGATGAAGCCAGAACTGTAATGGATGCTGTGCTAAGAGCCTTCTGAGGAAGCTGAGCGCACTGTCAGAGGAAAGAAGATTACTTGGGGAAGGAGTGCACAAAATCTAGCCACCAATCTTTCTGCAGAGAAATATAACTTTAGTTAGCTGAATAATAAACATAAATCTGTAATCCAGGTGTTTGCCTGGATTCAGCTGGAATCCTTTTATAAAAAAACATGTAAAACAAAACACAGACAAATGCAAAATAAAGAACAAATACAGACACATCATCTGTTCAAAGCAGTTCCTTGTAATTAATCAGTGCTTTGAGGAGGAATTGTTCAGCCTCATCATTGTTCATTAATTAAGAATGCGATATTAGTGAAATCTGTTGATAAAAGTACGGCTGAGCCCAACCTCCAAGACTGAGCTTTCAGCTGCGCAGATCAACGCAGACCCATTTCATTTCCTCAGTGGATCTGGTAACACAAAGGTCTTCTCACTCCTGATGTAAGGTCACTTCATATCACTGAATGGCTTAAGGGAGGCATGAAAACAAGGAGTTCAGGCCACAGGGAAGGGAGGGGGGGATGTTCTTTTTGTTGTGAGAAAGCTGTTAAAATAAGAGAAGACAAGTCTTAAAGGAAGATTTATGTAGCTTCACGTGGCAGTATTGGCTTCCTACATCTGATAGAACAAAGGACCCAAAAGTTGCCCAAAATGATAGACTGCAAGCAGGATTTATGGTGATTTTAATGTGACATGGAGCAGAAAATGTGTTCTCAGCAGGATATTTATGCCTGCAATTTAAAACTTGTGCTTTGATTGTTCTAGATGATAGCAAGTTTTCAGAGGCCATCACAGTGCTACTTACCTGGATTGAGCGAGGCGAGGTGAATCGTCGCTCTGCAAACCAGTTTTATTCGATGGTGCAGTCAGCCAACAGCCACGTCCGCCGGCTCATGAACGAAAAGGCTGCTCATGAGCAAGAAATGGAGCAAGCCAAGGAGAGTTTCAAAAATGCCTTAACAGGGATCCTCACTCAATGTAAGTAACTCCTTTTTGTCTGGTGGTGTTGTAGTGATGGTGGTGGTGGTGGTAGTGGTTTTTTTTTTTATCAGTTTGTTTGTTTGTTTGGGGGTAAGTAGTTGCAATGCAGTCATATTCTACTTCATATCCTATTCCATACTCTGTGGCAATTTGGAGGAACAAGGACCATTCCTAAGAGCTTATTTCTCAAGGTGAGCAAAGTTTCAGTAGTTTTTGTATTAATAGTTGAAGACGTTCTTTATGCATAATGTCTACATAACGCTTTAGGAACGAACCAGACAGAAGCCTCCCTGCTCTGAAAAAAATCATTCTTTTGTGGAGAGAAGTGATATGTAACCTGCATGTTGCAGCTAGTTAAATAGGCCAATTGCAGAATAGGGGACAATTAGGTTATATTTTTAGCCTGGATTTAGGTAAAAAGAAGAAAGATTCTGAGACTTTTAAGAATATATTCACAGCATACAGGCCACCCCCACAGTAGAAGAATATGCTGTACTGCTGCTGGCATCAGGACTGCTTGGCTGATACAATGCCAGTATTAGTTTGGCAAATAAACTGCCTTAAATATTCAGTGCTGGCAGCTATTTCTTTAGTACAGAAATATAATCAATTAAGTTACCTTAATGAGGTTCCCTAATAAAACAATAATTGGGATACTTACCTAGAAGTGTTCTCCGAATGGAATGGAAAAGGAGAAGAGAGGAGAGGCAAGAGGAGAAGAGAAGAGAGAGAGAAGAGAAGAGAAGAGAAGAGAAGAGAAGAGAAGAGAAGAGAAGAGAAGAGAAGAGAAGAGAAGAGAAGAGAAGAGAAGAGAAGAGAGGAGAAGAGAAGAGAAGAGAAGAGAAGAGAAGAGAAGAGAAGAGAAGAGAAGAGAAGAGAAGAGAAGAGAAGAGAAGAGAAGAGAAGAGAAGAGAAGAGAAGAGAAGAGAAGAGAGGAGAAGAGAACTAATTCAATGTTTTCTGGTTTTTAATATGTTTACTCTCAGCTCCTTGATCAAGAGGCTTTATGATACTCAGAAGGGTGGAGCCTGAAGCCAGCTCTCATATTTAAGTTAAAATCAAAACCCAAGACAATTCACCAGATGAAGGACAATACAGTTGTTATACTGTGATTTCTGAATAACACCCCTAATCATTACACACAAAAAATAAGCCCTAAAGGCTTTTCTGCAGTATTTCTGGTCCCTCAGTGGTCATCCTTCAGAAGTTAGGACTGAAGGTGGAAGCTTGGGGGGACTTGCCTGCGTCAAGAGACCAGCCCTTGGAAGCTTCTTGCATATGTGATGGAAAGCTCAGCATCTCAGAAGACCAATTTATCCCAGGGCACATGTCCTTCTAATTTAAGAGCTTTGATGCCTGTACTTAGAAAGAAACATTCTGGGTCAAAGACATTTGATTTCTGAGGTTATATGTTCAGTGAGTAAATTTTAAAGACCAGCTAATTCCCTGGGTAATTTTCTAGACAATGTCATCTTCCATTTCAGCAACTAAAAGGCAGTGTGAGAAGCAGAGACGCAGGCACCACGCATGGCCATGCTGTTCAATTCACACCAGGGTCTCTGTAGTTTTGTGTGCAACAGCCAGCCCTAGCATTCGGAAATGCCTTTTTTAGCTGCATTAAAAAAACATCCCCTGTTGTCAGCAGGCTGAACTTTAGTTAAATCAGTCTAAATTAGCCCGTTTGTCACCAACTGTTGTAGAACATCTGTCACTTGGAGATAGACATCCCCGTAGTTTCAGGTGGAAACTTGCGGTTTTGGCTATCTGGTTTGTTCCTGTAATGCGCTGAATATGAACTTACAAAAGCAGAAATAGGTCTGGCTTCAAAATGTGAGTTTCAGAGTGCCACAGTCACAGCGATGCCTGGAAGAAGAGAGTTCCTGACAGGTCTGGCCTATGATTGCAAGGTCAGCAAAGAACCCGGGAAAGGTGTTATACTCTGTGGATTTTATAAGAACATATTTTATGAGCTTTCCAGATGCTCCACAATGGTTATTTTATAAACATCATAAACATTGGCCATTATTAGCATTAATGTGTCTTATTAAAATTCTCTGCAAACTTGCTACGAACAGATGGATGATGTTTTGCTTTACACGTGTATATGCCTAAGATTGCTAAACATGGAGACTGTGAAATGAGCTTCCCTTTTCCAAGAATCTTCCTGCATTTGAGTTGATCTGAGGAATGTTTTTCATGCGTCCTTTTCCATTGTTTTCCCACAGCCCTGTAAAATGGGTTACAAAACACCACTTACTTAATGAAGAATTTGGAAATACTAGATGTCCAAAATAGGTTTGTGGTCTATTAAATTCTGCAGAGTGGCAAAAACCCCACTTCTGGTGTTCTGCAGTAAGGATCCAAAAGTCTAGTGTAATGCTGCAGCTCTGTGGCCATTTGATATAAATATTACAGTATTTTTAAAATATCATGTGGCATTCCTCTGACATGAACTAGGTCAGATGCCCAACTCCAAGCTGACCATTCTGGGCTTTCTTTGCAGCCAGCAGAGAAAAATAAGCATCTCCAGGGAACGAGTCATCAGACCGTCCTCATGGTGTTCTTCCAGTGAGATGAATTATCCCTTGGAGATGCCATTTTTTAATCTTTCCATAGATAGGCAGGGGGCCTAGCTCAGAACCAGATGTCCAACTTTCTACATGCCTTGTTCAGACCAGATTAACCCCACTTACTGTGTCTAGTCTTGATACAGAAAGACATAATGTAAGGGAAGAACTTGGACATAGATAAAAATGCCAACATTGTAGCAGTGAATATTAGGAGGAGTGAAGAAGAAATACGTTAAGAAAATGGGCTTCAAGTGCACTCACCTGGAACACACACACTGTCTATGTGGGTCTCAGTATAAAATACTTTCTTATTAATGAGGATTAGTGTGGTCAGAACATTTCAGCTTACGGCCCAACTACTAAAGAAGTACAGGTATTGAAATCCCTGCTACAAATTTCTGCCTGGAGGTATTCAGAAGATTACCAAGCGGATTACCCGTAAAAATTTGGGTCAAGTGTTCAGCACGTGAATGAATTACCTGACCAAGATACTTGTGCTGGGATAATCAGTGAAATAAAGTATATTACTGCTGTCACACCACCGATTTACAGCCCCTGATTTAAGTTCTACATGGAGTCTTAGCCTTGTTATGGTGCTTCTTCAGTTATTTAAGGGATGAAGAGAGAGAAAAACGTCCACTTCCTACTTTTTATTAAATTACTTAGTTTTTCCAGACTTTAATCTGTGCTTAAAATGTGGATTGTTTTCCAAGATTTTGGATAGTTGTCTTTGTGGTTTGCTTTCTAAATTCTTCCATTTTGCTTCTGCATCACAGTTATATGTGACTCTGCTTCCTGACTTTCCATGCATCTCCATTTTATTTCCTCCCGAACCACCTTTTCAGCCTAAGGCTCATAGATGTTGATCCTCATGTTTAAGAGGGCTGTTTTTTAGACTACACCAAAGCTACAATTCTGTCCTCTAACTTTCTCCTCCATGCACTGCAAACTTCATCTAGCTCTTATTGAGGTTTCAGACTGTTTAGTGCACAGTCCCTTGACCGCATTTTCAAAAGTACCGATAGATGAGTGAAGATCCAAAATTCCATATTCAAAAAATAATTTGATATATCAAGACTCAGACACACAAGCGGATGGAAGTGTTCCAGTATGCAGGTAGAGAGGTACACACACAATGTAATTAACCAAAGTACCTCACGGCTGGGTACTGAGCAGCTAACTACACTCACTTATTTGGTCGTTTTTGTCAATTTTACTGATGGATGAATCTTCAGAGGATTTAGACACCAAGTGCCCATCAGGGTCTATGAATCAGTCTCTCGTCTGCCTGAGGGGGAATCGTGGGAGGAAGGTTTTTATTATGGAACCCATAGCTAGATTACTTCCTTGTCATGTAGTGGTCTTCACTTTCACTCTCTCCTTGACCTTCAGGGAATTTCAGTGCATGGTAGTCAAGATGATCTTTTGGAAAGGCATGTGTAATTATCCTGGATACTGATGAAGGAACTGAACTTAAGCCTCCTTCCCTCCAAAAGTGCTCTAAATAGTGAGGTCTGGTGCTCTGAAAGGTGGTGTTGATCTTCCTTAGGGTGTTTGACAGATGGCTTTTAGGCACCTGATCCAAAACTTTCCCAGCTGGAGGGAGGTGTCTTCCTGCCACCCATAACATAGCGCTGAACACAGAGAACAGCTACATTTACGGCATGTCCCCACCCAGTTGTTGTGTATGCATAGTCTATCAGCTAGGTAGGGCAGTGGTTTTACATGCATTCCCAAATGTGAAGCTCTTCCCCTGTACTTTGTAGGACACATGAGCTTTAACTCACCACAGCTGACCACAGGTAATCACCAGGGTCTTAGAACTTGTGTAAAAGGCCTCAGTGTCAACATGAGAGTCTGAATGCACGGATAGATTCATGGTTCATCATACAGGAAAAGCTGGAGTATAAACCCGAGGAGTCATTTATTCCAGTGTAACTAATCACAGATGTGTCCTTACTTCCTGATGAACTGGAGGCTGCTGGAAAGGGAAGGCATTTCTTAGTGACCTTTGGGAATTAGCTGACAACAGGAAGATGTGCTGCATGTTCTCACCCTACCTTGGCAAGCAGTAATTAGCTCATTGACTCTCAGTAAGCAATTTCTGAAAACAGAATGTAGACCCTTCTAAGTCACTTAGACCCATTTAAAGGTTGCCATCCTGATTTTCATTCACAATGGCTAAGTGACTACCCTACTGTTGGCATTAGGCAAACTGGTGGCAATCCATGGTGGCAATCCCCAGGACTCAGTATTCAGGGCCAATATACACCAGTAGGTGATCCTGATATTTCCATGGAACCTCGTGGACAAGCTATGTAACTGACAACTTTTTGTTCCCGTTTCAGCTAATAAATATCATAGCATCATAACAAGTAGTAACAGCAAAACTGTTACAAAGTTTAGCACAATTTATAACTGACACAA